CCACACTTATACATCAATCTCCAGTTTTTATATATTTATTTGCTTCACCGTTTCCCCCCAGAATTAAATATAACAAATGGTGACTATATAAACTCAGCTTGTTATTCCTGTTTGGTCCTTGCATCTGTTAAACATCTTCATTATGTTGTATGCTAATTTGCTGCTCACCATCTACCTATATGTATGGACTGTGGTAACTTCCATTTCAATGTATCTGAAGAAGTGTCCGTACATGTGAAAGCTCACACCTTGAATAAAACTTTGTTGGTCTTAAAGGTGCCCCACTGGGCTCGAATTTTGTTCTGATGCTTCAGTCCAACACGGCTACTCACCTGAATCGTTCGTTACAAAACCATTTTGGAGAAATCTTTCCTGGATATCTTCAACAGCAGCACTTTCCTTTCTGCAAGCAAAGCCACCTCACAGCTGGGGCCCCTCACCAACAGGACACTAATAGCCCGTTACTCTAGCCTTTACCCAGAGCTACCTAGCAATGGTACCTCCAGTCTTACAGCCAATATACAGAAAGGGGGGGACGAACCTGTGGACATTGGGAGGCTGGGGAGAGACACCTGAATAGGCATTCTTTGGAGCTGGCTGGCAAAGATGTCAGGAAATCTCTGGGGAACTGATTTTTGGAGATGACTCCACTGTTACTCTAGTGTTTGCTCGCTTATCTGCTCATGTGATATGTGCTCTAACTGTTCATTCTTGAATAAACATTTTTACAAAGAAAGAGTTTTGCACAGCACTGGAGACTTAATCCTAAAGAGCCCAACTTTATAAGAGCTTTGACTGAAGCATCCCAGGGCTTGGAGAAGAGAGAACAGGAAGTAGTACATTCTGATGATGAAGGAAAAATAGCTTCACTAAGTCTTCATCATGAGTATGATGGTCAGGTTAAAACGATGTCTGAAAGCTACTTCGAATGGGGAAAAGGCAGTATCATAAAGCATCTAATGCTTCAGAAGTATTATTATTATTCCGTTTTGCCGACAAGTCACAGCTGACTTACGGCGACCCCATAAGGTTTTCGAGGCAAGAGATGTTCAGAGGTAGTTTGCCATTACCTGTTTCTGCGTCACAACCCTGGTTGTGGAGAAAATCTCCTTTCCAAATACTAGCCAAGGCCAACCCTGCTTAGCTTCCAAGATCCAGCAAGCCTGTGCTATCCAGGTCAGGGTAGAAGTGTTCTACCCTGACCTGGTTAATGTAATCTCTGAAAGTACCTTTAGCTACATCTGTACCTTCCCTTGTCTAGTGTGAAACTATGCAAAAGCCACAAGAGCCATCTATAAACTCACTATGTGGCAAATGCGCAGAGAACAGCCATCTGTAGTGCCTGGCCACGTGGCAAGGTGAATTCTACTGAGCTTCAGCAACATTTCAGTCTTCAGGCATGGTAAAATTCACTGAAGATAAGTGGCTCCCCAGGTGGTTGAGAATACCCTGCAAGATACGTTTTTACCAGCCCAATTCTAAGCACGTACCCTCTTCTAAACGCACTGACTTCAATGAACATAGCAGGGCATAATCCTCCATAGGACTGCAGTGTCAAGGACCCGACAGACAGCTGTTTCAGTCCATCCAAGAAATAGACAAGACAGATTGTTTTAAAAATACTTTATTTTTTAGAAAATACAGCATTCAGTACGGTGTGCCCTGCCTCCCCCATATTCTCCAAATCCACATCATCCAGCCCAGTCAGGAATGTGCATTTCTTTGTCTCTCCAAACCTCGTGCTCATGTTAAGATCAGGAGTGTGGCTTGCTTATCACTGTGCCAATTCAAACCCAATGACAGGTGCAGGGGACTGGGCCTTTTACCATCATGTCAGCCCTGTCTTCCTGACACAATGGCTAAGAATGCCTCGGCTGCCGTAAAACCTATCACAGCTGCCGCTGAGTTTGTGCAAGAATACTCCACCCTTGTTCTTCAATATAACCAAGGTTGTGAGCAAATAATCACATCTTAGAACAAAGTAAGTTCCACAAAGAAGTGATGGTAGACATTCTGGCAATCATCTTGACTTCCATAATTAAGTGATATTGGACTGACTTAATAAACCAACACAAAAAGGACAGAAACCAAGTCTTCTGGTCAGTGGTTCGGCGCCTGCCTGGAGAAACAGTGATGGCAGCTTGACAGATAGCTGTAAATTCTTATCCAGGCTAACACATAGAGAAGATGTAATAGGATGGAGAGCACTTCCCTCAGGCAAGGATGTTTCCCAGTTGCCCTGATGAGGAGCACTCTTCATGGGTTTTGTGAAATGCTTCTTAAGACTTGGCAAACATGATGCTGGTGCGTTTTCCACAGAGCAGCCAAGGACAGGGAAAGGAAACTTTCTACTGTGCGGCCTGAATGGGTACTGGGAAGGGGTGGTGGTAAAGAAATATTTACGGAGATGTCAAACTATGGCGACCAACCTAGATGACTGCTTCTGAGGTTCTCCAGAAGGCACTGAAACTCAAGTTACCTGCCACGAGCAAAAGTCACAGACTCCAAGGCATGAAGTGGGAGGAAAACGCCGTAGCTCTTAAAATCATTTTGAAAGACCTAAATTTGGCCATTAGTGTTTGGTTGCTTAAGGAGACAAAGAGAGAAGTACTGAGATGCATGCTACTCGTTCTGTCTTTTCCTTCATGGAAGTTCCGGCAGGCCCTTAAATTGCAATTCATCATATGTTCAGAGGTACATATTGGACCATCATTGCCATTAAATGGCAGTGTTTAGCATTCATATAGCAACAGGATCTGTCCAGACTACTCTGGGGTCCAAGCACTACACAAGACAGAGACAAAGCAAGGACTTGGTGCAATAGCCACCAAGTTACTTTTGGATTATGATTGGTGTGGGGGGTGAATATTACAGATGGTGAGGTCAGAGGGCATGTCGATAGTGGTCATCCCAGACGCACTTAAACTGAACAATATCTTTATTTTTTAATCTTTGGCAGGGGTGGGGGGTCCCAAGGCAGTGTGACCTTAAGGACAGAGTTTATCACTTTCATCCAGCTTCTGAATGGAAAACACATCCTCCGGTGACCCCCTTCTCTTGGGCTTGATGGACACACTCTTAAAAACAGGCAGACTTTTGCACATTCCTGAGGGAACGGAATGACAGAGGCACCAGTATACATTATCCCAAAACAGAATACAAACAAAAAAAACATACTATTTACTATGTCTCACAGTGGCAATAAAATGCCCACAGAGGGTGACAAGTCAGCAGCACATGAAAAACATGAGTGGACTACATTCATGTGTACTTGATAAACTCAACCTAGAATGCAAAACTTCCCTGCAGAATTGCTGCCTCAGTGTTACTTCAGAAAATTAACCAAACAAATTATGGTGGCTGTAGGAGCAAAGGATAAAATGCAGCTCCGTCACAGGAGTTCTAGGAGCTAGGATTTCAAATGCAGCTATTAAATTACTATATAGATAAAGTAAAAACGACTACTGCAGTCCAAAAGGTAGCTGAACGATTTGGATTTTGGTCACAGAAAATAAAAATCAGAACAGCAACGGATTCCATTTGGAGCCTGGATTCTGCTGGCTAAATAGATCAAGCTAGGTTAAGCCCAACTCTTGATCTTCACCAATATTTTCTGTCCATGGTGTACTGGATACAAGACCAGCCTATTTTTAAGACATCTCTGGGCAAGTTTCCAATATTAGGAAACTGTTCCAAATCCTCTTAATAAACCTCTAAAGAGGGCAAGCTATGAGCGCACAATCTAAAAAAAAAAAAAAGCTATGAGACGACATCTAATGTCTGTGATGACTGTTTTGAATTGTTTTTAAAAGAAAGCAGGTAACTTGGAATCATTCTATAATGCAAAGAGCTTTGAATCTGAAACAAACAAAAAAACAACACTTGCCTTTCTTGAATTGCAGGTCAAGTCCCAAGCTCTTCTACCACAGAGTGAGCTAGAAGAGTAAATCCAAGCTCTTTTCCTTTTCAACAACTGCTACAACATTCATTGCCACTTAAATTACCTGGCTCTGCTATAGATTTCAAAAGGGTACACTGACTATATATATATAAAAGGGGAAAGAGAGAAATCAAGATTCGAAGCCATCAAGCTAACACCACACAATCAGCTCTGTAGAAAAGGCTGAGTTTCTTTTGCATGAGATACAAAACAGACCACTAAGAAGCTCCCTGGGGGCCAGAAGGAGAAGTTTAATCATGCACATCAAATTCAGTGATTCCCCCCGCCCATGGAATGGACACATCTACTACAATGACTTTCAGAAGCCCCCAAATCTGGGTCATGTCTCTGGCTTGGAGAGTGCCTAGCTCTCTTTTAGCTTTCAGAGCCAATCACAGAGCCCACCCCCTAGGCAATTTACTTGCCCTTCCAGCATGACCCGCTCCATGAAACATTCTCATGCTGGCAGCCATCCCTTCCTCCCACCTGGTTTACATGGATCTACAACAATCACTCTCGGGCACAGAATGTTACTGCCATGGTAAACAACATCTATCACAGGGAATGAACAACCCTGCGGACAGAGTACGTTCCATGAAGAACACAACCCAATCAGTGTGCAGTAGGCTGTGAAAGTGCCAATTCTTCCTTGGCTTGGCAAAGCTCTAGTGTATGGCTAGACCAGAGCCATTGTATACTGCAGTCTACAGCAGTGAGTTTGTGCAGTGCTGGAACTCAGCAAAGGGATGTGACTGCTGGGTCCGCTGATCCAGAGGGGAGGACAAACACCTAAGCAAACTGGGCTCAGGGAAGTATCTTTGCTTTACGGCAAAGCACATTTAGAACCATCTAGCTTGGTAGAAGGCAGTTCAGGAATGAACATCTATTTCAGTAAGTCAGTGCAAAATCACAATGCAGCATTCGGCCGGAAGCAAACACAGGGGAAGATGCTGGTGTATTGGCAACGCACAGGAAAGCCTCCCAGAACTATCCATGGAAATCACACGTTCAAACTGCTG